GAAGCTAAGCACAGTGAGGTAGAGGGAGTGCTGGTGAGGTTCAGGGACCTATTGAGTTTGCTCTTCTGCTGTCCGAGATAGTATATATGAGGCACTAGTAGTGGAGAATAACCTTTTCAAACTATTTATGGGTGCTTTTATAATAGTGGAGGTTTTACCATAAATATCATAGATTAGTTTTTCCTTCTTTGGATATTTCTTTCTTATTGTTCATTTTTATCAAATGTGTATGAGTGTTTTGCCTATATGCATGTAAGTGCACTATGTGTGTGAAATGCCTATGGAGGCCAGAGAGAGCATCTGACCCCCAGAACTGGAGTTACAGCTGGTTGTGAACTGCCATGTGGGTGCTGGAGAAGGATTCCAGGTCCTCTAGAAGAACAATCAGTTTTTGTAACTGCTGAGCCATCTCTCCAACCCTCTATCTAGAACTTCCTTAAATTTGATTCTGACATAGATGAAAGTCACATCAGAAGTAAAATGTGGTGATCTATGGTGAAGAAATAGCATAGTCAAGATGTATGATCTGAGGAGAGTTTGGACTTGCTTCAAGACCAGTCAAGCTGAACCCTGAGTGGTCATCATGGGCCTGTCACTGATTACTGATGTGACATCAGCGAAATCACTTAAGTTGGCCTTTAGCTGCTGTTTTGTAAAACAATGGTAACTCTTTTCTTTCTTTTTTATTTTATGTCTATGAGTGTATTGCCTGCATGTGTCTAAGTGTACCCCTGCTGTGCAATGCCCATGGAAGTTATAAGAAGGTGTTGGATTTCTCTGGAGCTGGATTTACAGATGGTTATTTGCCATCATGTTAGTGCTGGGAATTGAACCTGGGTCCTCTGTAAGAGCAACCAGTGCTCTTAAATACTGAGCCATCTCTCCAGCTGCAAGGGTAACTCTTTTTAAAAAATTTTTTGAGAATTTTAACACATGCATATAATGTGTTTTGATCAAATCCACCCCTACTCCCTCCCTTCCAGCTCTTCCCCTCTTCACCACTTTTAACTCTTAAAATATTGCAAATTGATCTTGTTTGTGGTTTTTCCTTATATTACCATAGAACTTTCATTGAAATCAGCATAAAGTGTACTAATTTTTTGGCAGGTGGTACTAGGATTGAATGAAAGGATTTTTGTCCTTTGGCATGCTAGTTAAGTGTTCTACTATTGAACAATACCACCATTTCCTACTTTTTCTATATATTTAATTTTTATGTTTCTTTTTGTTTGTTTTCTTTGTTACCTTTTTTGTGTTCTGAGATAGGGTTTCATATAGCTCTGGGTTCAAGCTCTGTATGGTTCTAACTGAGGCTCATGTTAATCCTGATTCTCCTGCTTCTAATTCTCAAGTGCTGAGATTATAAGTATCCACCAAGTCCAGCTGCCACATCTGAATGGTTCTTCCTTTGTGCCTTCTAATGTCAGTCCATTCTTTTGTGCATTTCACAGGATTAAATATGCTTTAGCTAATAACGACCCAATAGTTTTGTGAGGCATCCATGTGAATAAATATACATGTAAATACAGTATATGCTCCCACCTAATCTACTTATAGTGCCACTTCTTGCACTTTATGCAGCAGAATAGAGCCTACAATTATTTTATTTGTCTTGTAATAGGATTATGAACCTAGGTAATCACACAATGCTCTATCACTGAGCTATAACCCCAGCTCTCTCTTTTACTTTTTATTTTGAGACTGAGTCTGGTTAAGTTGCCTGGCAGGCCTTGAACTTAAGTTCCTCCTTTCTCAACCTCCAGAGTAGTTGAAATTACAAGTCTGTATCACCAGACCTGACTTACATTGTTATTATTCCTGAAGAATTAACTGTATTGTTAATCACCTGTTTGAAACCCATGTCTTATAATATTCAGCAATTGCTTTTCAAAGCAGGAAGCATCTCAACATCAACAAGTAACACCTCTCAGCTGGGGAGATGGCTCGGGAAAGTTCTTGCCTTGCAAGCATGAGTACCAGAGTTCAGATCTGCAGCACCCAGGTGAAAGCCTGGCACAATGACACATGCCTTTAACCCTAGTATTGAAAAAGATGGATCCCTGGAGCTCATTATTGAGCCAGTCTAGCCAAATCAGTGAGCTCCTGGTTCAACAGAAATTTCTGTCTCAAAAAAATAAGGTAGAGATTAAGAAAGACACCCGTGTAAACCTCTGGCCTCCATGTCCCAGTAAATTTTTGCCTTCTCACTCTCTGTTTGACCCACCCTCACTTTTTCCAGGGTCTCTTGCTCAGGGTGCTATTGGACAAACCACATAACATTTTTATTTGAATTTTTCATTTTATATCTTGGGTAGGGAGGGGGGAGATGGAGAAATTTACAAAGAAATGAACACCTGGCACCCAGCTCTGTGCTGCTCCGCCTGCTGTTCCAGATCGCTTCAGCGCCCACCCAGTCTCTGTTAACTTTCTCCCAAACATCTTGGGACGCCGCAGTCTCACCCCAGGTCGGTAAATGCTCCCTCTCCAGTCCACACCCAGTACCCTTTGGTCCTGCGATGGGGCCCAGAAGCCCCTCGCTCCCCACCTTAGAGGAACTAGGCCCCTAGGACACACTCCACAACACACACACACACACACACGCACACACGCACACACTACATGCGCACACGCACACATGCTATATACCCAAAACAAACAAAAATGAGTAATACCTCTGACCCCTAGTTGGGCAGGGAGCCATTTTTCTCCTTTTGGTCCCATGACTCTGCGAGGACAGTAGAATAGTGGGTTTTCCCAGCAGGGCCACAGCAGCACTGCTCACAACTGTCAGTCCTGAGAGTGTCTCCTTCCTCTGCTATAGGTGTCTAATATCTGACTTCAGCAAGTAAATCTGAGGCTATTTTGAAAGTTTGTGTCTAAACTACTATTAATATAGCCAATATTGAATAAGTCATATATTTTTTATTTCCCAATTACTCAAGTTTTTTATGCTGTACTATAGTTTATGAAGCTGCAATAGCATTGTGTCTAAAAACACTGTATAAAAGTTAAAAAACATAATCATGGAGCTATTGGGGACAAATGGTGCCATAGAGTTGCTTGATATTTTTTTACAGGGAAACTTGTCATGAAGCCATGAAGGACAAAGGACACACCTTAGGCAGGATTTAGTAGTAAGGGTGGGTCCCACACATCATCTTCCTAACTAAAGAAATATTCCTCTGGTGGTCTGTTCATACAGGTATTTATGGCTCATAGAGGATAACGTCGATCCAGCCATATAGAGATGTGAAAAGGCTTTTTTTCCTCTTCCAGATGCGGAAAATAAACATATGGGCATAACTTACTGCATTTTGCATTACTGTGATTCACACATATTGTGGTTTTTATAAACTGAAGATTTATGGCAAAGCCATAAATGGTGTTGCCCACATTCAAGATGGGCCTTTCCTTCCTTCTTCAGTTAAATGCCTTTGGAAACACCCTCATACACATGCCCAGAGGGTGTCACCTAGCTGATTCCAAATCCAGTCAAAGGACAGCAAATAACCATCATTCAAGAATTGTTCAGGAAAAGAAAGGGACCAGTGGAGGGGGCAAAGGTTACAAAAGGGTAATAGGAAATGAGTATTGCATACCATTATCATGTACAGTTAATAGCCATGAATAAAAAAACATGGTAGTGTTGCCCATGTACCCAGAAGGTACATTTGTGTTAAGAAGTTTGTTCTTGCAGAGCAATGCTAAAATCATTCATTCATTCATTCAGAAATTTATTAAGCACAGCTATGTGCCAGACACTGATATAGGTCTGGAGGGTATAACAAATGATTCTTAGTCCCTGTCCTCATGAAGTCACATTTTAGTGGAGGCAGCGTGGTGAATGAAGGCCTCACTATAAAGGTGACAGTTGAACAGAGGCCTGAAGGAAAAACAGGAGTCATCCTTTGTGCTACTGGGTGCTCTCGTGCATATAAGGAAATCATATCTCAGGGCTAGAGTATAGATCAGTGGTAGAGCACATCTAACATGTACATCCCTGAGTTCAGTAGTCCCCACCTCCACACAAAAGCACAAATCTGAAGACAGAAAGGTTTTTATAAGCTCATTCCCTGTGTTAATCAATTGGGAAAGTATTTTCTTCTGAGAACACCTGGCCTGGCTACATAAGCATATAGTTCCTTTTTGCTAAGGAATGGTAGTTATAGCCCAACATGAGCAGTTGGATGAGCAGGGTAGAGGTGAGGTGAGCTTTTGCCTTTTGCTCATTGTTAGTTACATGCCTTATAAAGGAAAGCTTCCTGACAGTGTGTAGTGGAATTTTATGCAGATAGACAATAAGGTCAAAAACCTTGAGGCAGGAGGTAGGACCAATTTCAAGAAACACCAGTAAGGCCAGAATAGCAAAGTGTGAGAGAAGAATCCCAGTAAGGGATAAGGTCAGGCTTAGGGCTCACTGATTCTAATTCTAATGAGATAATTCATTAGGTCTTTATGGTTTTCGTTTTGAAAATGTCTTTATGTGTGATTTCATATGTTTTCCACAACAACCCATCTTGAGAGGATCAAATAAGTAAGTTACTTAACTATATGATACCATTAACAAATATGGGGCCTGGGATTTAACCAAAGTCTACTGATTTTAGCCCTTTTTGTGACTCTGTGCATCAAAGATTAGTCATTAATTTTAAACCATTGAATCTTTGTGAAACAGCAATAGTTCTCTGGCTGAGCTCTACTCATAAAAACATTCCCTTTGGAACTTAGTGCTGTGATTTGAAGCATTTTATTATTACTCTCTTTTTGTGTAGTTAACAAAACAATTCTCTTTCATTGCAAAGTATTCTTATAAAGCCATTTACAGTTATTTTCTCAATTTAATGAGTCTAAAATATTTTTAAAAATCATAACAAATGTTGAAAATATGCCACTTTTGCTAATCCAAATCATGTCATTGTTCAGAAATTAGTAAAAAGGCCTTTTGTGGTGTAAGGAAGAGTCTATATATTAATCCATGTTTTCTTGTGAATGTCTTGCAGCTGGAGATGGAAAAGCTCCAGCTCCAGGCCCTTGAACAGGAGCACAAGAAGCTGACTGCCCATCTGGAGGAGGAGCGGGGCAAGAACAAGCACGTGGTCCTGATGCTGGTCAAGGAGTGTAAGCAGCTCTCTGGGAAGGTTGTAGAGGAAGCCCAGAAGCTGGAAGAAGTCATAGAGAAACTGGAGGAGGAAAAGAAAAAGACAAACGAATTAGAAGACCGGCTTTCTACAGAGAAGCGGAGAAGCACAGAAATGGAAGCTCAGCTGGAGAAACAACTCTCTGAGTTTGATACAGAACGGGAACAGCTGCGTGCCAAGCTGAACCGAGAAGAAGCACACACCACTGACCTCAAAGAGGAGATAGACAAAATGAAGAAAATGATCGAGCAGCTGAAAAGAGGAAATGATAGCAAACCAGGCATCGCCCTCCCTCGGAAGACGAAAGATAGGCGTCTGGTTTCCATATCTGTGGGGACAGAAGGGCCTATGACAAAGTCTGTTGCTTGCCAGACAGACCTAGTGGCAGAAAGTGCTGAACCTGTGAAGAAATTGCCTTTGACTGTACCCCTAAAACCTTCTACAGGAAATCCTCTAGTTCCTGCAAACACAAAAGCCAATGTGTGTCCTAGCGTTCCGCAGGTTAGATCAGGTATTGAGAGGCAGGCTTCCCATGGTGACTTGGTCTCCTCTCTACCTACTCCCTCACCTCCAAGTGCAAACACAATTGAGGAAAATGGACCAAGCCCAGGCTCCACCCCAGATCTGTCAAGTAGCACACCCCCAGTCCCCAGCACCACTGCTCAGACACCGGGCACAGCTCCCCAGAACCACTCACAAGCTCCCCCTGTGCACAGTTTACATTCACCGTGTGCCAATGCACCTTTGCATCCAGGTCTCAACCCACGAATCCAAGCAGCTAGATTTAGATTTCAAGGAAATGCGAATGACCCAGACCAGAATGGAAATACCACCCAAAGTCCTCCCTCAAGAGATGTCTCTCCTACAAGTCGTGACAACCTAGTGGCCAAGCAGCTAGCTCGAAATACTGTGACCCAAGCACTGTCAAGATTCACAAGCCCTCAAGCAAGTGCTCCCCCAAGGCATGGAGCACCTCCAGCAGGGGATGCTGGTACCTACCCACCAGTTGGTCGAACTGGTTTAAAGACTCCTGGGGTAGCACGAGTTGACAGAGGAAATCCTCCTCCTATCCCCCCCAAAAAGCCAGGGCTTTCCCAGACTCCTTCTCCACCACATCCCCAACTCAGGGCCTCCAATACAGGGGCCAAAGTCGATAACAAAATTGTGGCTTCACCTCCCTCCAGTTTGCCACAAGGGACCAGGGTAATAAATGAGGAGAGCCTCCCTAAATCATCCTCCCCTCAGCTGCCACCAAAACCATCCATAGATATAACTGTGGCACCCGCAGGCTGTACCGTTTCAGCCCTGGCCACGTCTCAGGTGGGTGCCTGGCCTGCTGAAACCCCTGGACTGAGCCAACCTGCATGTTCAGACAGCTCCCTTGTCATTCCTGCCACCATTGCCTTTTGCTCTTCCATAAACCCTGTTAGTGCCTCATCCCGTGGCCCAGGTGCCTCAGACAGCCTCCTGGTAACAGCATCAGGTAAAGGGATTGAAATCTTATACCCTATTTTAAAGAATGTGGCCTACCCTCTCTCTCACCTTGATTTCTAATTTCTTTCAGGCTTTTTTGTTTGTTTGGTTGGTTGGTTGGTTGGTTGTTTTTTTTTTTTTTTTTTATTTGTTTGTTTTTTGGTAATTTGTCCCTTACCTCTTTCTTTCCTTTTTTTTTTTTAATCTTTAAGGCTCTGGGGTATGGTGATTCATCTTGCTCTATAAATTGTGTTTTGTCATGCTAAGTGCTTTCTCTGAAAATAGCAGTTTGAAACACATGAAGACCATTAATTTAGAAAGACTGAAACATTTCCAGGGAGTAAGAAGTCTCCCTTTGTATTTATATTTATCCCACCAGACCTCAATATTGATGGATCTTCCTTAGTGGGCATTCAGTTATTTCCCTTCTGAAATGACAGAAGAAAACTTCTAAGTCCTTGCTGACACCACTCTGGATTAGCAGATTGATAGATTTGCTCTGTAATTAGTAGATACTCTGGGTTAATATCGGTTTGGTATTAGCATTTCTTTCTTACCCTCAAAAAGGGAGGATATTTATAAATCTCTGTTTTAAGTTTAGTTTATTTTGAAATCTATGTACCCTATTTTAAGCTTGTCTTCCAACACGTGAGCACAGATGGATATCACAGCACATGGACATATCAGAGAAAGTTCCCATTGCACTTGTGGATAATGAAGTCACTGAGTCTGGGACTACTACACAGAGGAGAACTAGAATAGTTTCCTTTTCATTTTACATCATTAATAGAAACATTGCTTTTCTGGGCATGGCTAAATTAGATCCATTCTCCCTCTTCCACTCCCTTTCCCCTCCCCTCCCTATCCCTCCCTCCCTATCCCTCCCTCCCTCCTCCTCCTCCTCCTCCTCCTCTCTCTCTCTCTCTCTCTCTCTCTCTCAGATCAACTCAAGGTACATGGTAGGCAGGTGTTCTACCACTGAGCTACATAACTAGCTAGCCCTGTATTAGCTCTTAGTTGAGCAGATATAGCTTAAAAATAATGATTGGTGCAATTCTCTTAGCACTCTGGAAAAATCTGTTTGTCATTAGATATTAGGAGTTGGTAGATACTGTTAACTCTAAAGTGGGATATAATAATAAAAGGAAAATGTAAATAGCATTATATATAAAACTTAAAGCAGGTAGCACTATACCTACTAGTAACCAGTTGTTGAGATCAGTGTACCAGAATTTATGCATCTAAGTATAAGCTGTCCCCTTGAAAATTCAGCTCTGGGGGAGCCTGCTTCCGTATTTTGAGAGCAAATTTGAGAATCAGAAACAGCACAGACATTGAAGTTGCATAGATCTGTGTTTGAATCAAGGCTCTACCATCTATAGCTGTAGTTTCGATGTTATTTTTCCTCACGCTGAGCAAGTTTTCTCTTCCTTAAACTGGAGCTTATGCTATTCATAAGGGAGTGTGGTTGTAAGGAGAATCAGATATCATAACATATCAAAGCATGGCGCTGAACCTAGAGCTGCAAGAGTGATCACCACCTAAAGAGTAGTGTCGCTTGGAGCATTTTTGAGGATTTGCCTTAGAATTGATCTTGGTGTGCCTTTGTGATGTTTTACCGGTATTTACGATTCCATACTTTTTTATTCAAAGTGGTTACATTGAGCTAGACAGACCTTGTCATTGCTTGAAATTATTTGGCTCTTTCTCACAAATTAAACTTACCCCTAGAGGGGTTTTGGGTACCATTCAGGTGAATCAGAAAATACACCTTAATATTTTTAGGCTGTCAGAAAACACTAGCTCCACAATCCTTTGGAGTTGTGACAGTGCTCAGCAAAGGAATTCTGGATAAAGAAACTAGAACTTTGGAAAATGCCTTTTGCTTGTGTCTGAGGTGCCAAAGAGAATATATAAATAGGGGTTTCAATGAAATAGCAGCCATTAAAGATGCATAAAATTGGTTCCTTTTTATTCTCCAACTTTATAATTTGACCACAGCATTCTCTGTTGATCACCTTTGGTGGAATACAAGGCCTCTGTGTAATTTGACTATAAGATGTGACTTTTTAGGGGGAAAGAGTGTCATCAGAGGATTTTCGTCCTCCAGCAAGTGTTTACTGAGCACCTCCTCCTGTGATTCAAGAATGAAAATGTTATTAAACTGATGCATGCTTGTATAATTCAACTGGGGTGTAAGTCATCCTAAACTTTTCAAGTAAGATAGAATTTCAACTGCATTGAATTTAGTTTTTCCCAGTTCCTCATTTAAAAATTACTTTGGTGGTGCTGGGGATCAGTCCAGAACCTTATGCATGCCAGGTGAGGGCCCACCACTGCGTCTGCTGCAGTTTTTGTCACCACACCCATCACAACTAGGAAACACCAGAGCACCCTACATCCTGCTTCTTAACCTGGCCATGCCTGGGTGAGCTTGTCCCTCTCCAGGTCATAAGCCCACTGGAGATCATTAACTTTCTAACAACATTGCAATTGCTAGGAACAGGGCCCAGGGACAGACTATACTGTTAGATACCGGGCAGATGTCTGCCCCCATTTCTGTCATCACATGAGCACTCACTGAACACAGATTAAGATGATGGCATTATTAATTTCTGTCCCTCTGTCGCTATAATATGGGAGAGAAGCTATTACCTTTGCCATCTAAAACTGAAAGCATCAAATCCCCAAATAAGAATATTTGTAAACCATAGGATGTCCTAAACTTTGCCAGATTGATGTAAAAACAACAGCTCACTACCTCTTCCTCTTTGCCCTGAATTCCACAGTCTTTCAAACTCTGACACCACATGTGTCTCTGTCAGCTTCTGTCTGTGACAGTTCAATAAGCGAAAGCCCAGAGAAAAGCTAGAATGACAAAAATTTCCATTTTAATGGACCATATTGTAAATCACTTAAAATATTGGCAACTTCATGGCAAAATATTAACTTAAAATAATGTTTTAGGGACTGGAAAGATGACTAGTAGCTAGGAGCACTGGCTGCTTTTGCAGAAGACATGATGATTACCAGCACCCAAAATGGCAGCTAACAACCATCCTAACTCCAGTTCCAAGGGATCTAACTCCCTCCTTTGGCCTCCATGGACATTTAATAACCGTGTACTTATATACAGGCAGGCAAAACACTCATATACATACAAATAAAATTAAATAAATAAATAAATGTTTAAAATAAAAATATTTTAAATTCTAAATGAATCAGAATTTATTTCCCCTGAATTTCTCAAAAAATGTTTAAAATAAAAATACTTTAAATTCTAAATGAATTAGAATTTATTTCCCCTGAATTTCTCAAATGAACACATTCCAGTGGTTAGATGATAAAGCTTAAAGCAGAAATCACTCTAGGCAACTGAACCCCCATACCCTTGAACATATTTCTCTTTTTATTTTCCTTTTTTTCTTGATATTGTTGTTTCTTTGACAAATTTTATTTCATTGAGACTTTTTCCCCATACTTAAATATTTTTTTAAAATTGTACTCATATATGATTGACTTGAAAGCTAAATCAAAAACCAAGAATGATCTGGGCTATGACCTTAACCCTCTTCATCCTTTGAAGCTGATGCCGGACGCTGTTCTCACCTCCTCTCCCCTCTGCCATTGCATGTCCCAGCTGTTTGGTTGCCTGTTGTGCAAGATGCTCACCTTTACTAATGTTTGCATATGATGCTGCAAAGCTGAATGACTTTCTAACATCAGTACAGTAGATGTATGGATATGGGTCTGTTCTGTCTTTACTAATCCAGTTAACCAAATATTACCATTTCTGTCATTGTTGGGAATTTTATATGAATACTAATGTTGTGGTGAAGTTTTATTTTACTTTTTCCCCATATTTACAATATCTATTAAAATAACTTGTTTGTACAAGAGAAAATTGGAAATGATAGTGAATATATAACAGCTAAAGTGTAAGAATGTAGTATTTACAAAGCATCTTTCTTTTGTGAAGATTTTAAAAGAATTTTGCAGTCCTTTAAGAAAATAAGGAACTTGACATATCTTCTGTCATTCTGTATGACAAGAACTATAAAACTAAGATCTAAAGACTAAAAAAAGTTTGAATAAAATATTTTTGATCAAAGACTACAAAAATTTCAATAAAATATTTTATCTTTCAGATAAATGGGAGTTTCCAGAAAATTACAGCCATAATTGAATATTTCTATATGAAATAGTTGGAAATATACATTTATATTGTCTCCCACAAAGCCTAGAATTGTGGTGCAAAAAGAAAAATGAAAACAAACCTCCAAGAATAACAAACTTCAGTGTGTTTATATTGGTATTCATAAAAGAATATCAATAACCAAGACCCTTTGGATGAGATCATAAGAGAGAACCAGTGTGTGTGTGTGTGTGTGTGTGTGTGTGTGTGTGTGTGTTATAAAAGGGAGCTACTGGGTTGCTTACAGCATGGGGACTGGGTCTAACATGGCCATTGTGTGGAGAGGCAGAGAACAGCTCAGTCCAAGAAGATAGACCCCTAGAGAGAGAGAGAGAGAGAGAGAGAGGTGAAGAGAGCATGAACCAAACTCTGCTGTCCCATAGGGGACTATAGTGCGATGCCTTCTTATTGCCTGTGTTTGCTTTACAGTCAAGGTTTCCTACCTTGGTATCTATAATTTTCTGTTTATCATCCATTTCTAATAAGTACTGATTTAATTTTTGTGGGCCTGTTTTTTTGTTTGTTTGTTTTTAAGAAAATACAAAAGGTAAAATGTACCAGAGAGGAGCCTTCTTGTAAGTATGAAGTAAAAATACTACTTTTCTAAGAAGATCTAATCAATATCAATGGGAAGATATTATAAAGCTATGAGAAAATTGAATTTTATGAGCATTTTAATCTTGTCATTGCTGCTAATATGATAAAACCAATAAACTATCCATTGACTCAAATGATTGGATACAAATATGTAATTTCCAGTTTTCAATAATAAGTATAGTTTTATTTGCATAAATGACTTTGTTTAGTTTTTATAGTTTTAAACATTCTGAGAAATTTCTTTAATATGTACTTTTAATATTTATTTTAAACGTTGAAGGCCATTAACTTGGTATCAATCATAAGAATTAAATACTTTATGCATACTAGTATAACTCACATGTACAATACTATCCTGATATTAATGTGCAGGGAAGGGAAAGCATCTAACTGTTGTGTCTTGCTGAAGAAAATCCTAGCATACACACTTGGAAAGTCTTCTGTGATGAAGGAACATGTGTACCTATGAAAATGCTACGTAACAGTATTGGGGCAACTGGGGCTTGTTTGCTATTAAAAGGGAACTTCAATGACTTATTTTGAAAGTTCACTGTATTTAAGCCTAAAAGACACAAAATACCACATTAAATAAATATTTTCACTTTACTATTTTTACAGCCTTTTGATCAAGGAAGAATTCAGAAAGTTTTCCATGCTATATGCAGCCGACTTCACACTCTTAACAGATTCTCTTCTAAAGATGCTAAATACTGATGAGAAATCCCTAACCATGATAACTCTTTATGATTTTTGTTAAATCTCGATGGTAGAGTGTCCTATTTTGTTGGCTGATTAAAAAGTTCATTAGACCTATTGTGAAGATGGAGGTGATAAGTCTTCAAAAGTGTGATTGGCTCCATGTATGCTATATCCATATATATGTTGTAGTTGTATCTCTGTCAGCTCTTAATACCAAATAGTAGTTAAAACCTGTTATTTGTTTCTCAAATAAGGGAATTAAAGGAATATTATATATATATATATATAAAATAGATTCCTTGACAGAGCCCACCTCCCAAGTTTATGTAAAATATGTAATTAAGTGTCTTGGAAATATTGTTGAGAAAGGAAACCGTTTCTAACTATGGTGAAATATTACCTACTTTTCCATATCAGTATTGAAATTGAGGTAACCTTTATAGAAATTTAAAATTCAAAGTGCTTTCAAATCCTGAAGAGGAATTTAAACATTTAAAATATGGCAGCCATCTTGGTTTCCCAAAACCAGTCACTCCTTTAACTCTTATTTTTGTCAGACTGACAAATAAAAATAACTTGTCACCATACATGTTAATTGAATTAGCAACACGTAAAAGATCTGAAATAACAATATGAAATCATGCTAAGAAAATATTAACAGGTTGATAATGTTAGAAACAATGTAACTCTCTAGGAATATATGTTCATGTTTGTGTGTGTGACTCAGAAGGGGATGATAGTGTCTCTTGTCCTTATTCCCACTGTCTAACAAGGGTCACTTTAACCTACAGGCTGGTCACCCTCCCTAACCCCTTTGCTAATGAGTGGTGGTCCTGCCCCCCTGGCTGGCAGGCCCACCCTTCTTCAGCAAGCTGCTGCCCAGGGAAATGTCACTTTATTATCAATGCTGCTTAATGAAGAAGGACTGGACATAAATTACTCCTGTGAAGATGGCCATTCTGCCTTGTATTCTGCTGCTAAGAATGGACATACAGGTAAAAATGGTATGATCTTACCTCACCACACCACACACTTGCAAAAGAATGGGAGGCCAAAGGTGCTTGTAATGACTGTTAGGAGCAAAAGGTTCATTTGGGTTTTACTTTGCCTTTAAAGGTAATAATGGTTATTTTTCTTTCCATGAACTTTAAAGTTTATGAATATTTAGGGAGTCAAGTTGTGCCATTCCTTAAAGTGAAATGTTACTGGAACTAGTGAAAAGTGATGTTTGTTTTATACACATTAAAATATGTTGTCCACATAGAAATTTGAGACCTAAGAATTAATAAAACACACATTAGAATCCAGCTTCCATGTACAATCATTTCATCAGGAGAGAATAGACCTGATTTGGCTGTTAGGAAAACCTGTTTCAGAGAAAAACAGAACACCAGGACTGTTTGAGGTTCAGGGTAGCATGGAGAGCCAGTGCTACCTTAAGGGAAAGTTTTACTACTTAGATTCAAAGTTAGAAGTTTTTCTCAAATTGTGATTGCAATAATTTATAGTTATTTAGGTTTTTGAGAACTGAGAAGTTATAATACTATAAATGGCATATCAGTGAAGACTGAGAATTATTCTTGCTCTTTAAAATGCAAATCCTATAGTTAAATATACTAAAACATATGGCTGTACAGAAAAAGAGATGGATTAACTACTATTACAAAGTCAATATCATTTCATATGTGCACCATATGCCTATTGGTTGATGTAGTAGTCTGTAAGCTAAGAAGACTCAGTAGATCTAAAACACTTTGAAATTCAAAAGCACTGGGGAAATTTTTTACATAGAGAAACTAAATCTAGATCATGAATTATTATTTATAATACTTATCTCTTTATTAAATGTATGCTTCAGGTGACCTTCTGCAGGCCTTCCTTGATCTCCACATAGCTAAGTGTAGGACAGGCCCATACAGAAGTATTTTATTGATTAAATTGACATCATACAATAAGTATGTAATCACATACATACAAGAGATGTTATTTCAATTTAGTAAGTGGATTTGGTTTTCTGTCCAAATACGTTATTTCTGAAAAACTCTGGTGGAGAATCTTGTAAAGCATTTTCTGACATTCCTTTTTACCCATCAGTATCTCTTTTCAAAGTATTTTTTAAAAGCATGTCTTGGTGAGTTTTGGGAGATCATGGTCTTTGGAAAAAGAAAAGCACCCTCCCTGTGAAAGTCCACGCATTCCACTAGCAGACCGGAGCTGTCAGATCAAATGTGCAGCAGAGAGGGCCTTTGGGTTTAGAATCTCTCTGAAGCATGCAGGGAACATGGCTCATCATAGTTCTAAATATGGAACTAAAGCAGCTTTCTGTTATAAACCTTAGACTGTGTGCGATTGCTGCTGAATGCAGAAGCCCGAGTCGATGCTGCTGATAAAGTTGGCTTCACACCCTTGTGTTCTGCAGCTGCTCAGGGACATTTTGAGTAAGTGATGTTCTTCATTCCTTTTTCTATGAAAATAGCCTATTTTATATTTTGCACACATATTTTCTTCTAGCTAAGTGTGCAAATGAGTACTTAACAGTCATCAGCAAATATATCTGCCAAACACATTTGAGGGTTTAAAGCAAAGTAGATCCTGATTTGTTTTTCTTAATAATAGGTAAGTATTGTCTATGAAGGAAGCATATGTGTATATGTCAAACCGCACATGAATGAATCCACTTCTGATGGTCTTCAGTAGCTGTCAACATAGATAATGGAGTCAGACACTGCTGAGAACTTCCTTGTTAACATTTTCTATAAAAGCTTTTTAATTTATAACATTAAAAGTAAAACATCACATTATAGTATTTCTAGTAATTCTGATGTCCTATTGCTGCCTTACTTGATATTAAGTTCCAAATATTCATTTTGTTCCATTTGTCATTAAAAGAAAAATCAAATGTAGGAACTTTACATATTGAAAGTGGTTCATGTATAAAACCAAAGTGCTCCTATTAATTAATGTAACTTTAGTAATTCAGGAGCTTAAGTCCATTAAATACAGACATTATTTTACAAAGTCCTATTTTAATAATAGAGTATAACTAACTCGCTGTCTTGCCTGTGCTGAGTTGGCATGTTGTAGGGAATGAAAGTCCTATTTCAATAATAAAATATCACTAACTTGCTGTCCTGCCTGTGATGATTTGGCATATTGTGGAGGAATGCATACTGCTTCTACCTTTTTAATCCAATTCTACTGAGACAAATGTTCTTTAAAAAGTTAAAGAAATAGTAAACTATGTTTAAGGTTCATGTCAATATTATTAATTATAAATGTATAATATTCAAAATGCATCCTTTAATGTATAGTGTTATTTCTTTGTGCATGTCTAATATATATATTTCATCAGCATGAGTTTATTATTGAGAATCTCAGACACTCCTCTTGTTGTTACTTTTTGGGTATATCCTGTGTCATATAAAGTAGCTCTCTCCTTCTGGCCTGTGCTTGTTATATGCATGTTACCAGGCCATCTGTGGAGCTGCTTGCTTAGTGGATGAAACTGTCACAGGAATAGAAGCATGGATAGCTCTGGAAGGAGGAACCCTGTGGGAATTCAACAAATTAGTTGATTAAAGGGGCATTGTACACATTTATGTCAGCATGTAACTTATTTTTAAAATATATAAACCAAATACTGCCACAGAACCCTTACTCTGAAAATCCCCTGTCCATCTGTTATTCAGCTCTACATGATGAACTAGGTACTGAGTGTCAGAGTTGTCCCTTTACCTTCTTTCTTCCTTCCTTGAGTATGTTTCTGTGTAGCTGTGTCCTCAGAAGCCAGCTCTCACCCAGTGGCAAGAGCCTTTTCCATTTTCTCCCAAGACAGCTCTTTGCCCAACACCCTGCTATTTTTTATAGAGGAGGCACATGGTGCCTAGCTGTCTACTCTATTTATAATTATTTTCTCAAGTGAAAAAAAATCATAGAATGATTCAACCTCATATTTTTTCAACTCTCAAATGATTTTGAATCACAAATAATTATGTACACCAAGTACCATTCAACCTAATAAGTTAAACCTAGTCCAATGACTCCAGCTTTAAAAGTTAGTTAGCAGTGTCATAAACCAGATTTTAACATTTGATTTAAAACATACTATTTTGGGCCTGGAAAGATGGCTCAGCAATTAAGAGCACTAACTGCTCTTCCAGAGGACCCAGGTTCAACTCCCAGCACCCACATGGCTTCCAACAGCCATCTGTAACTACAGTTTCAGGGGGATCCAACACTTAGCTTCTGGTCTCCACTGACATTGCACAGCAAGGATGCACTTACATATATGTATCCCAAACACTTATACATATAAAATAACAATAAATAAATAAAAATATTATTTTAAATTCCATGCAAATAATTAAATTGGGGGGTTTCAATGTATTTCTAATCTTATGACAGGAATACACATAAAATAAGGATCATAATAACTGATTTGTCTAAATAAAATAATTGATACAGGTGAAGATGCATACTTGTTTTTTGCATGCCATCTAGATTTAGTATTTTAGTCAGGGTGTCCTTCAGAGGTGAAATCCAGTTTTTATCTAACTAATCATAACCTTATGTGTAGGTGTGTAAAATTACTAACTGCATATGATGCCAACATTAATCATGCTGCTGCTGGAGGACAGACACCTCTATACCTGGCCTGTAAAAATGGAAATAAAGAATGTATTAAATTCCTACTAGAAGCTGGCACTGACCGGAGTTTAAAAACCAGAGTGAGTACCCATTTGGGAGACTGTTTTCCCCATACATGTCATTTACAATGTGTCTGAAAACTGTCTAGTTTTTACAATTATATATATTTATGTGTGTATAAATAATATATATATACATATATATGACATGTGCAGACTTTTTCCTTCTCATTCCCTAAACAGTATCATGTAACCACTATTATTTGCACTGTTGAAGATGTTATAATAATCTAGAGAAGACTTATGTGTGGAAAGATGGATGTATGTTCAATGTAAAGGTGACAGTGTTTAATATAAGGAATTTGGACAATTCCAAGAATTTAAAGCCTAAGGTGGGGTGGGATGTAGCCTTGGAATGAATCCCCTCAAATGCTGAAGGATAGCTCACATTGAATGAGAGCTTTCTTAGTTTTTCTTTTGCCTTAAGAATACTGACTTTAGAAAAGGCCTCTGCTTGAGTCTCTGACTTGCTGATTGAAAACTTGGTCCATTAGCCTCATCAACCATTCAAACTCTGAGGCTGGAAATAGAAAAATTATTATGGTGTTCTTGGGATTTCTAATTAGGGAAGACAGTGAATGCATAAGTTTTTATTCATTGATTAAATGAATTATTAGATATTAGAATTTATATTAAGTAATTTCTCTGACAATAATCAACAGTTAATTATCAATATAAACAGGTATACTAAGACTAGGCATAAACATTTGCTGTTGCATCTTATTGCAAGAGCTTATACAAACAAACAAAAACAGGGAAATCTCTACCCATTGTTTGGAAACCTGTAGAAATAGTTTAGTTTCACATTTCTTTGTTATTTTACTTATTTTATTCAAGAAATCTATAGTGTTTATATATACCCACCATAAAATCCTCCATTGTAGATGAAAATTAAATGAACTTTACATTATTAAGGTGAATGAAGTAGGCAATGAAAAATGGAAGTTTAAATCACATCCTGTTCAAGAAAACACAAATCCATGTTCTCTGGCTGGGTACTGATAGTCTGAATGAACAGAATCTTGAGAAGTACAAGAGATAAATGGCACAGCTGATAGGTGATCTCAAGGGAGTAATTATGTCCTGTGCCTTTTAATGATAAAGTATCAAGAAAGAGTGGAATGTTGAAAATTGTGTTTTTTCTAGAAAGTCTTTGTGGCTTTTGTAAATTAGGGAAGATCATTGGCACTTACCTTCTGGGGCATACATAAGGCTCCTACCCGAGGACTGGTGTCCAAAACCCATGCAGAAGAGAACAGGGGCGTGCTTGACCTGACTGAGTGAAGACTGGACTCAGTATTCTAGGTACTGCAGTATGGTCTTATATTAGCCAACTGAGCTACATTGGTATGAGATCCAGAACTGTAGAAAAAGGTATGTCCTTGGGGCTGGAGAGATAGTGCAGCAGTTAAGAACACTGACTGTTCTTGCAGAAGACCCAGGTTCAAATCCCAGCACCCACATGGCAGCTAACAACTGTCCGTAACTCCAGTTCCAGGGGACCTGACAGTCTCTTCTGTCCCCTGCGGGCATTGCACAGCATGGATGCACTTCATGCAGGCAATACACGTATACACATAAAATAAAAAATAAATAAATAAAATATTTTTTTAAAGGGCATGTCCTCAAGGATCACATGACTTAGGATAACTTGAGATGGTTCCTGTTTATTGTTTATTTTTCTCAAACTCCATGTCTTTATTTTTAAAGTAGTGCTGTGGTGGCACATGCCTGTAATTTCAGTACTCAGGAAGCAGAGGCAAGAGGACCATATCAAGTTTGAGACTATCCAGCTCTATGTAGTGAGTTCCAGGCCATCAAGGTCTGCATAGTGAGGCCCATTCACAAACAAAACAAAATAAAAAAGAAAACTGTAGCTCATTGGAATATATTTAATATAGAAATGTGAAATGTGACATGAAAAATGATGTCAAAGGAAAATTTAAAGGTAGAAAAAAGTAAAGCCCGAATGCAAATCAATTGTTTGACAAAAAATTAAAAAAAAAAAAAAAACAACTTTAAAATCCAAGAACAGTCTCTCTGTTTTGGGCAGACCCAACTCTATATATATATCAAAATGAGAGACTGTCAGGGAAGCTGAGAACCAAGATGTTCCCTAGAATAGAGCTTGTCAGACAATGGTGCATCCCAGTCACTTGGTGGGTGTGTTTAACAGGCTAATGGGCTTTCTCCACCAGAGTTTCTATTCTATCTGGAGAGAGGCTTGGAAATCTGCATTTCCAGCAAGGTCTCAAAAGGTACTGATACTACTGAGGACCACTGTCCTAAGAAAGAGATCTGTAACTTCTCAAGCAACCAGCTAAGTGGGCAAGAGGGACACTGGAGCAACATATTCTAGAAAATGGACTCAGTGAAAGTGATCTTAGCTAGAACATTTTCTATATTAGTAATGACTGCTATCCTTCTACAATCACCGATCACTGAGTAGAGGCCCTTGGGCACCCAAATTAAGCTATTTGGCTTTCTTTATCCAGTGTGCCTACCTTTTATCTAGAATCTTGCCCTCTGGAATAGTTGGCATAAAAAATTTAAGATCATTAGAGTTAGGTAGCTGTCTTTAAGTAAAGCTGGTTTATAATAGCATTCTTTAGTACATTACTAATTTGCCAATATCATTATTCTTAAATATACTTTTTAAATCTCTTTAGTCTGAAGTTCATTTCATTTTTAAATATTAATTTGAGATTGGGGTGGTCAGACATAATACTTAGTTATTGAACTAGGAAGTATCTGCTTATTTCAGGTGGTTAAATGTTAAGTGGTAATGATTAGGAACAGCAAACATGAATCACAGTGGTAAGAAATAGAGTTCCCAATAAAAGTCAGAAAACTTAGCTCATCAGCTATACTCAGGAGTGGAATGCCTGCATTCCCTGGTGCAGTGGTCCATAACCAAGAACATTTAGAGGTGGGCCTTAAATAACATTGTTCTCATCACTAATGTTGCTGTCAACCTTTTCACTCGCTGGTCAATTTATTTTCAGGATGGCTGGACACCAGTTCATGCAGCTGTGGACACTGGTAATGTGGACAGCCTCAAGCTTCTGATGTACCATAGAGCACCAGCTCATGGAAACTCTTTGAGTGCAGAGGAACCCAAGACAGGCCTGTTTGCCTTGGATGGAGGAGAAGAGCACCCTGCAGGCACATCTAAGCCTGTGGTTTCTGCAGACCTCATTAACCACGCTGACAGAGAAGGCTGGACTGCTGCCCATATTGCTGCTTCCAAAGGTTTCAAGGTATGTCTGTTAGCAGCTGGCCTCATCACATAGTCGTGATTCGATAAGTGGCAAATTGTCTGCCATTGACTTGATGTATTTAGACTGGAGATGGGGTGATAATATTGCAGAAGATGATAAGCAACTGGTACATGTTCACATTTTTTTTTCTCTTCAGCAGATGTGTATTGTCAAGGACCTAAGAGAGTGTTCATTTTTTAAAAATCTTTTATTTTAAACATTTCCATAAGAAATGTGAGAGTAAGTCAAGTGTTTTATTTTGTTTGTAATAGGAAGAATGGGTTGGTAGTAATGTAGTTCATGAAGTTGTTTACTACCAAGGCCACAATACTACTTAGAGCATCCATATACAGAGAGGCTCAGATTATAGACCATGTTCTCATGCCCATTTTGTTGATAATAATAGATTTTATCAATAAGCTTAGGGAACTCCTAATATAGGGCACTGTGCATGCTAAGATTTGCAGAGAACATTTTGCCATTAGCTCCTAGACCAGTGGCAAGTGTGGGAGTTTCAAGTATGCGATAAGACACAAAAACGAGCAAGAGGTGAAAGATATGCCCCTAGATCAGCACCAAAATGCAGTGATAGTGGGAAAAAGAAGGGGACTGTGTATTTCAAAGAGTAGTTTAAAAAATATTTGCTTTGAAAATGGCTCATTCTGAAGGAGGGAGAACTTATTCAGGGTTTTTTAGAACAATGTAGAAAATAGTTCAAGTGAAGGGAGAAGTAAGAAAACAAAGGAGACAGACACATAGAAGAAGGGAGGAAGCAGCTAACAGCTCCAACTGAGCTATTGAAAACCAGAAATAAAAGAAGAGAGGGTATCGTTGTTGGCCTGGGGGCCTTCAGTAGCATTTAAAGAGTTTGTCCTCAACTTAGCCGTGAATGTACAGCCTGTGAGAGGTTTTGGAAAAAGATACAAGATAAGTGGTTCTCCAGCTTAAATTATTTATTTTAGCAATAGCAGTTAGATAATTTGAGATGCTGAACAAAATGATGGCAAAGAGAGACTAAGTGGTAGAGGAAGATAAGAACGTGGGAATAATAAGACTTGTTCCAGACAGAAATGTCTAAGGGCAGGGCTGGAGATGGTTCAGTAGGTAAAGTGCTTATTGCATAGGCATTAAGACCTGAGTTTGAATCATCAGCACCCAAGTAAAAGCCCAGTGTGGTGGCATGCTCCTGTGACCAAAGCATTGGGTATGTGGAAACAGACAGATTCTAGGGACTTGCTGACCAGCCAGTCTAGCCGAAGCAATGAGAAACCTGTTCAGAGACAGAGAGACTCTGCCTCAGAAACTAAGGTGGAGACCAACAGAGGAGGATAACATAAATCCACCTCTGGCCTCCATATGCACGTGCAAAGGCAGGCACACCACACGCATGCATGTACACACACTTGCATTTCACACACACACACACACAATGCCCAGGGATAGAACACATAATTGGCATGGAAAAGGAAGAGAGTTGAATGGAAAGATAATATTTTTCTAGGAAAAAGCAAAGCAAAAGAATTGTGATTGAGGAGATTGAGTGTGGTTTTGATCATGTTGAATTTAAGTGCTACCTTTCATTCACTGCAGATGGAAATACATGTAGGTATGTATTTAGAGCTGCTGGATCTACTGCACAGGCTGTTCAAAATGGACTTTGATTTTCAAAAAGAGGGGGAAACCAGCATGGTTTTGTCCAGTGCTTGTTAGCTTTGTAGTCCACTCCTCATCTTACTCCTTAACAAAAAAGAAACAAAACTTCTGAGAACTTTGATATACATGTACCACCTTGAACAGAATGAAACAGCATTTGACATAAATGTTTTAGAAGACAACAGTGGGAAACATAAGTCAGTTAAGTCTGAAAATGCAGCTACTCTGGAACTGGTGAACTCAGTTGATAAGACTAGTAAAGACACATGGAAAGGTAGTTTGCAGCTCACAACCATCTTCTGTAATGACTGACGTCAACAAGTGAGTTGTGTAGACTCAACCTTCAGGTTAAAAAACAAAGAAACGAGATAGAGAGGGAGGGAGGGAGGGAGGGAGGGAGGGAGAGAGAGAGAGAGAGAGAGAGAGAGAGAGGAGAGAAGAGAGAGCCTTCAGTGAAGGGAGAGGTATTGCTGCACAGCCTCTTCATGATGAACTCTTATTAGTTCTGGAGTTCTCATGATCAAAGACATTATTTCCATTGATTACTTAGACCCTGGCAGCAATAGATAATCTGTCACTGTTGAACAACAGGAAAGATGACTCTTTTTCTTGACTATGGCTCTTCCATATCCTCTTACTTTTAAAAGCATAAGATCAATTTTTGAGGGAAGATTTTAAGGAGTGATTGACAACACACACTGCTAAGCTGTTTAAATAATAGATAGTTTTAGCTCTGGAGTGGACATTTAATCTTTCATTTTGACCTCTTTATTTTATGATTAGGACCTTTAAGCCCCAGAGGGTTTAACAGATAGCAATTGGGAATGATGCCCAGATTGTCTGACTTTATCACTTTTTTCATTCTGCATCTTTCCTTTCTAGTCAGAAGTGTTGTTAAATGTATCTGTATCACTTGTCTAAAACAATGGTTCCATTCTGGCCAAGATAGTTTTCCCAGATTATCCATTTATAATAATTTTCTAAGGTCAGTTTTCAGAAAAAAATCACAACTGTGAGTGTGAAAGTAGAAACATTCTACTGACCACAATATATTCTTAAAAATGATCCAAGAGAGAAGCATATGCTTGCTAGTCCAGTCTGTGCAAGGCTAGTCCAGTCTGTACAGGCTAGTCATGCTGCTCAGTAAGCAGTGTTCCTTCATGGTCTCTGCTTCAGTTCATGCCTCCAAGTTCCTGTCTTGAGTTCCAGCCTGACCTCCCTCACCTTGGAAATGTAATATACAGTAAACTCTTTCTTCCCCAAGTAGCTTTTGGTCAGTATTTTATCACAGCAACAGAATGAATAGAATAGTATGCTAATTATAAAAAAATAGAGCACACAGATTTCAACAGACACTTGTGGAATTTTAGAGTTTATCCATTCAGCAACAATGCATTATATGTGAAGAAATTAAGTCTTGTGAAATGGTGACATTAATATCTCAAAGACAATTCATGGAGAATCAGATTCCCAGTGCAGGGCTGCTTGTTTTCTGATGTTTGATCATCTGTATAGCCATCTGATGTTTGCCAGTGGGAGCTTTTCTCTCAAGCTGGCTTCTGAGTGCTCCAGAGAAAAGGTTGAACCACAGATAAGCTCTTCTTTGGGATTAATAATTTTCTGGAAATAGATAAAAGAAATTCTTAATGAGATCCTGTAAAAGAAAGGAGATTAGATCTGAGCTTCTCTGTCATTGAATGAAACGCATAGTCCCAGACAAATTTTACTTATTTATATTGAACTTTTTCTTCATCTATTTGCTTCCATTTATTCATTTATTTGAGTTATAGCCTTACTCTGTAACCAGGGTGGTCAGGAGCTGCCTATGTAGTCCAGGCTAGTCTTAAGATCACAGCAATCCTCCAACCTCAGCTTCCCAAGAGCTGGGATTACCAGGTATGACCATGTCCAGCTTCCCACTTAGAGCATTTTCACCCAGAGGATTGTGTGTTTTGCTACAAGAGTAGATTATACAGCTAGCTTATCTGTTGCCGAAGTCTGTGGCTTCCTGTCACTCCTGTTCTTCCTGAGCTTAATACTTTAATACGTTGAGTATTCAATACAAACTATTTTTGCTCTGGGCTTCTAGCATATTGCCCATCCTCCCTTCCACTCTAGCAATTCCCAGGCTCTATTCTAAGAAACCTCCTCTGTTTTCACAAGCCCATCCAGTTTTTACATTTAGCAGTGGCTTCTGCAGTAACCAAACCAATATCTTAACATCTGACTTTGTAACTGTCTTGTAGCGTTTTGTTTCCAGCATCCTTGAAGTCGTCCCTAGGCAGGCCCACTGCTCTCTGGTTAGAGTGGTCCTCCTGTTGCCATCTTTAAGCCATTCTTTCATTGTGTTAGGATTGTGGTCTTGGTGCATTGCTGACTTTTACTCCAGAAGCATCTAGTATTTCCTCTCACCCTGTCGCAACCACTCCAGTTCTCTAGGTTGCCTGGATAAGGTAGGTGCTCACAAAGGTCCATATAGGGCTCCAAGATTTGTTTTCTTCTTACTTAGGTCTTGCTACAAGGAGAACTAGACAGTAGGAACCACTGAAGTGTCTCCTTGTTGCACAGAATTACATAACTGGTTTAAAGAGGTGAACATCAGACGAGGAGCCTGCAAGCTGCCCAGTCAGAACTAGATGCCATTCAAGATAGAGATCTAATGTGTCCCCCAACCCTGATCATCTCCTTTTCTCTCTTAATTTTTAGCAAAATTATTTTTAAAATTATAGACTATGAGTAAACAAAAGGAAGGATTTTTAAACACTTTCTAGAATATTCAGTGGAGATTAAGTAAATGCTTGCTTATTTGGGTCAGCAATGATCAACTGACAGAATCCTAAGGGGAAATGAAATTAGCCAGGCAGAGCCAAACTCAACCCCTCACCCAAAACATGAACCCCTTTTTCCCTCTCTGTACTTTCTCCATTGACATCCCCTAAATACAGTCTCTAGGGGTTCCAAAACCTTGCTTTAGCCCCACTGGGTATGTCCTGAGTTTATCCAGAAGGTTCTTCAAGGAGGTTCCCTTTTTACAAGGCATCTTTGAGGTAGTGTCTTGATTTTCTTGATCTGATAATATCACCAGGCTTTGGTGTTTACTTGTTCCATTTTCTTTACTTCATTAGTTCAAATGATCAACACAACTCTAGATTTTATTTCTTAATACATGAACTTTGAGTGTTTGCCTCATCCATTGCCCATGGACATTGCTCTGATGAGTTCTCATCTGCTCTCATGAAGTGTTCTAGGTCCTGTCAGTCTCCATGCACCTCCTTTATGCAGCCGCAGGAGGGGCCTATCCTACAGCTGAATGTAGTGATGCAACTTACCCATTATATCTTTCTACA